ATAGTTGGAGGCGATACAGGAGACGCTGCTATTGGGAGAGGGGAGGCATTTCCCACATTGAAACCGGTGATTTCACAAAGGTCAAAAAGTAAAGCTTGGGGTGTCGCATACACGCAAAGGACTTTTTATTTTGGAGCTGGATCGGGGATTTTTGTAGGTTCCAGTTTCTTGGGTCTCCCCCCCCCCTCAACGGCTCTTCCACATTCTTTTCATCCTACGGTAAGCTTTCGCCTACGCGATCGAGAGTGATCATTTGTGAACGGGAGGTGACATCCATGCGCCATAATGGAGGGCATGTATTGCAGATCTCAGGGTCACGGCTCTGGGGTGGCTGAACTTAAACATACGCAGCCGCAGCGGCCATACCGAGATTACTGGGATGAGAGTTTGAAATTCTTCCGGCTCGATCCAACCAGCGAGTTGCTATTGAAAGCCTTGGCGCGCCCGCACGAGGCGAAGCTAGAGGGGTACAAAGGTTGGGGCTTGCAGTGGCATTCTACTTGAGATCCCGTAGCGACCATCAAGATGTACGTATCTGCTTGGAGCTGTGTTGGGAAGAGGGGGGGTGGATGCGGGGGCAAAGACACGTATGTATACTGTACAGGTAGTCAGCTAAATGCAACGAAACACTGCATTTCTCATCCTGTATGGCTGCGTCATAGAGTCGTTTCAACGCCAATCGGAAATGAAGACGCCTTCCGCGATGGTTCATCCACCGTTTCTCGTGACGGACAGAGTGTTGAGCCTTTGCTGATGACGGCTGTAGCGTTCGGATATTTGCAGAATCACGGGGCTTCACTCAACAGCCCGTCATATTTAGACTAATTGCCCAAGATGCTTCTGATAGAACCAACGCCCCTTTTGATGTCCTCGCGGCCTGTTTTAAGCCTCAAACTAGACACACCTGCTGCGGCGTGCATCCCTGGAACAAACGACACTGATCACGCCCTGAGCTGATCCGATACCCAATCCCAACTCGCTCAAAAGCCTCCTCCCTCCTCGACGACCTTCGAAGCACCATCCACCACGTCAGTTTGCTTTGGAACTTCTTTAATGAAGCTTCATCATCGGATTCACCCCCTCGCTCTTTTTCCACATATGGTGTCAGCTCACCGATCTCGAGACAGTAGAACTTGGATGCTTCTTGCACATCCTCACAACTGCAAACTTCCGGCAGGTTCTGGCACTTGCCTTCAAGCCAACATGTCCTATCTTCCTCATCTCCATAAAATCCCACGTAATCTGGTTCGTCGCAGAGCACCTCAAAAACTTGCTGCGAGTCTCTTCTAACTAGGGTTGTGCGACCGTCGTGTGTTCGGCACGGTCGTCCGTCTCGGCCACTATACTCCCCACGCGATTTCCTGAAGTTCTGACTAAGAGATACCATGCATACCTCAGCAAGCTTGCCGACGAGAAGAATAAAGCCATCCACCAGCTGGCCGAATGGATCTGTAGCCTTGGGATCGCACCTCGCCTCCAAGATGGAAACGGAAGCTTTGAACTGGTACGAGGGCCACTGGTCAAATGAAACAAACTTGATCCCTCCGTCAATGGAAGCCCATGTCCAACTCGGTGCCCTGTATGATGCAATTCTTTTATGAGGTCCATCTCCGCAAACATACCATAGCAGGTCTTTGGGCAGGTGGTCAAGCCACAGGCCACCCAAATATTTAGATGGCTTGAGACAGTATCGAGACGATATGATGGAAACCAAACCAGCCATTGCAATGAGTTTGTCAGATGGCTTAGTCAAGCAGCGATGGGAGTAAGTCTCTACAAGCTTATGCCATGTAGAGACTGAACCTGCACGATGCAAAGAAAGGATGTCAAATCCCCGCTTGTAGGATTGTCCACACTCACACTCGATGCCATCCTCGCACTCCCAGACCAAGTGAGACGTTGTCCAATGCAAGATTCTCCTGGCCAAGACCGTTTCTTGCAAGGTCCAAGCTCGGTTTGATAGAGGTGTCTTCGTCTGCAGATAAGTCTGGTCATTGTGAAGACCCGGCTTGTTTTCTTGGACCACTTTTCGGTCTGTTGTCCCGTCTAAGTGAGTTGTTTCGATTGGGAAACGACGGGCCGAGTCATTTGCAGTCTTTCTCAGAAACCCCTCATGGGAGTCAGCACACGAATGGACTGCAAGAACAAGATCGGCACTAGAATAGATTTCCCGCATCTGAGCGCATTGCTGGGCCCAGTCTCCGCTATTTATTGCGTCTTGAACAATGCAGAGAGCATCAACCCAGAGGTAAGATATGTTGAGCTTGCGACAGACAATTACCGCGTCGCGAATTGTCTATTTGTTCATTGATCAGCTGTTTGAGAAAACCAGCATATTCAAATTCAAATGGCTGCCCTACCTGCGGCATGGAAGATAGTTCGATTGCTTGTAAGTGATCTTGGAGTGAGGCTCGAGTTGTAAGAAGCGAATGCGGACCATTCCCCCAGCAATAGCTTAGAGCGCAGTAAGGTGTAGATGGGGGCTGATTTTCGACCAAGAAAGGCACATCTCCATCCATGCCGACGTGAACGAGCCTATGCGGCACAAAGTCTAAGCTGAGACCTCGACATTCACAGTCCTTACGCTTCTGTTGAATCCAGGAGATGGTCTCATCAGGCAGTCCATCTGAGCTCTGAGCCAACCTTTGGTTGCCATTGAGGGCATCGATTGATGACACTTGGGCTTTCAACATTATCTATCAGTATAGGGCCCTACGTTCTGACCAACGAGTCAGTCGATGGCCGGGCTGTTGCATCCTACTTACTCTCATCGTAGATGTCAAGCGTGAAAGACGCTGTCTGCCAAGAGGTCGAGTTATTTACTTGATATTCCACCGTCAGGGGCAGTGGTTTAATAGGGTGCGGAACTCCCATAATGGTGATGATCTTTTCTGAGAGGTCCTCGCAGAAAGCAGGTGAGAAAGCTTCTGCGGCGTCGAGGATCATGCGGCACAGATGACATCCCCATTGCCAAGCCTTGTGGAATTCAACTGCAGGTTTGCGAGCAAGTTCAAGATCGAACTTATTGGACCGCTTGACCTTGCGGATGTTACCGCAGACGACACAGGTGGCAGGTCCGGGCGACTTCGCCCAGGCAGCGATACTTTTCCAGAGTTTCCAGGGTGAGTAGGTATAGGTGAGGTCTCCCGAGTTGAAGAGACTAGGTGCAAGATAGAGAAGAAGAATGCGTAGTGCTATCCCTTCAGCTCGTCTGGCATTCGATACTGTTGTTCGCTTTTCACGTAAAGCTTCTTTAGCTGTCAAAAGGTGTAGCTGACCGTCTGGAGTCTCAACGATGCCGACGCCGCATAATTTTTTCTTGATTTGACTGGCCCAAATTAGGTATTGGTGTTTATGTGAGAGCTGCAGAACATCCACGGATGGGATATACACTGGTTCTCCAGGGTTTGCGCGAGACATGCTGACAGCGCCCCCGAGCTCACGAGAGTCGTTTTCAGAGCTTCTTGTCAAGTTTCTCCAGAGTCTTTGGCGGTGCTAGTTATTTTTGACAAGCAGGCATGGTAGGCTTGGCAGTAAAAACACTGTATCACGATGGGGCGGTAGCCCCAATAAATGAATCGAAGCCATCTTTCGTCAATGAGGCGAAGTCGAAGTGGCCAGCTGCCTTGCTACGCCCGGCGGCTGAGGGTGGTATTGCATGAGAGTGGGGGAACGAGGCAAACAGAGCTGAACGCTAGAGGATGCGGCCGACCTTGGCCAAGCGAACGGTCATGGCAAGCATTATCCAATTCGCACAGGACATGGTGTGTATTGCCATCACATCGCAACTCTCTGTAAATCACGCACGAAGACCGCTTAGTGCAGATGATAAGATCATCGAGATTATTACCTTGCTTGCGTCCGAAGACAAGGAGCTTGATGCGCGTCGTGGCACCACCGCGTTTGGCTGTCATTGATTAGATACTGAAGGTGTGGAAACATTGCCGATTAGATAGCCTATCGTTGGGAGCGACGGTTGGGATTGTGATCGTGGACAGGCAGGGGGCTTGCGGTATTGCACATAGTAGTAGACTCTGCATGTCGCCAGTGCCTTCATCATGTTGGTATTTGCAAAATTATGTAACTATATACTCCGTAGACCAATAAATATTTGGCGCGTAACGAGGTGTGCCGCTCCGCGACGTTAAATGGCAGGTCACGGCACCAGTGAACCTGGTGCAATGAAGTGTGACTGGTAATTGAGAGCCGGAGTAAACGCTATGTAGCAACCAGATGAGATTGAAGTTGATAACATGAAACGGATAGTCAAATGATGCAATCAATTGGTTGAATATTGAAAATGCTGTGATAATGCTCCGTAAAGGGAGAAAGGTTGACTGGTTGAACTGGGTAGAATGAGGTGCTTAGTCGCGCTTCATTGTCGTCTGGGGAGGCTGGTAAGGAAAACAGGTCACTACAGAGCACCTAATAATCATAGATCCGTGCGCGAAACAGCCGAAAGGAAAAGGAATACCCACCGCGTTTGACCAAAACCTTCTATAGGGTATGTTCATTGGCATGTCTCAATTGCAAGAAGTTACGCTCTTCAATCGCTATGGGCACGATAAAATCAATGTTAATGTATTTTGGGCGCTGATTTCTTTGGGCTTTCAATTTCGCAGTTGCAAAGGTAACATCCCAATATCTGCAGGCAAGGCGTCAAATGGCCACAGATTAGTTAGCCCTTTGTTGGTTTTACACTTGTCGGTTGTTTACGATGCGAGATAAGAAAACAAGCACGCGCCAAGGCCCTTGCCCTTCCAAATGAAATCGAACAGTAGGATGAAGTGTAGAACCCTTTTCGGTTGAGTTTGAATCGTGTCGTTGTAGCGCCATAGCCTGTCAGGATATTGAGGTACAAATCATTACATTCCTATTCACCGTAGCAAAATATCAAGGCTATCAGAGTCGTAAAATTGACCCCTCTAGCTGTCGGTGAGAATTTGCGCAAGGTTTGTACCATATAGATATTATTTAGTGGACAGGAGTCAACAATCATCGGGCTTGTGGTCTAGTGGTATGATTTTCGCTTCGCATAGTGTCTTTGATACTCAATGAACAAGTGAAAGGTCCGGGGTTCGATCCCCCGTAAGTCCAACACAGCATTAAGCTGATTTATTTTTTGAGCATTTTGGTATTTCCTGCCACTCCTTTTCTTCTTCATTCGACAGGTTCAAATATCTTTTTTTTACTGGCAATAATTGATTAAATCCAATTAATTTTTGCGCTATCAGTCTAGTCACTCCAAACTCATATCGCGTCTTCCCCGATCTTCTCAGCATATGCTAGCAAGATTTACGCCAAAGCCATATATCACAGCGATGTTATGCTGAATTATCTTTTTGTCTCATGCCCCAGTACTTTTCATTGCATGTACTTGCATCATCCTTTTACTTCCACTTTCAACCATGAATTGACGTATGGACTTCATTTCATTTGACTACAATCTCTCGAGATGTCCAAGTCAAGTGCCGGCCTTATACCGATAGTGACAAACATTCACTATGAACCGGTAATCTGCAAACTTCACCTGAGGAAGCGAAAACAGTCAATCGTTTCCGCCGCTGCGTAACGTCAACAATATGCGGTATAACACTGGGACATATTGTAACTCTTCTCTATCCGTGATTGTACGACCTTAGAGTCAGACAACGTGTTGTGTGTGCGCCTCCAACCCGTATCCCCATCGTTAGTAGATTTCTCATACGCTCCCGAGGCTCACTGCTACCACAATACTATGATTTCTGTTGGGCCTGGGTACGATATTTAGACTCAGTAGAGAGCTATGTCGACTCACGTCCAAGCCCGCGTAGCCTAATTTTCTAGTGCTTTGTCGAGGCATCTTTCAATATGATTATGAATGGTGATCAAGTATCTCTGGAGTGATCGCGTGGATCGCCTAGGTTGTCAAATTTTGATGTGCTCACATCTAACTTGAGTCTCTTCCAATCGTTGTCGACCTCTCATGTATATGCTAAAGCTGGTCTCGTGCCTCGCTTGATGCGTACACTCAGCTTGCTTCATTCCATCAATGGAGGTCGATGCATTCTTTCCAACCAGCACCTGCTCTGACAACCTCACCTCAAGTACGCTCGGTATACTAACTCAAGTACTAGAAGCAACGGCGCTAGTTATCACGAATAGAGGTGGCGAAACATTGTTGTGAAGGCTGAGGTGCCTGTCCAGTAAGAGCAGATGTCCGCGGGAGACTTCTTATGTGCTTTTCTTTGAAATGACGTCAACAATAACCGGGCTTGTGGTCTAGTGGTATGATTTTCGCTTCGCATCTTGTAGGCTCCTGAAGCTTCTAGCACAGGAGTCAGTAATACATCATGAACAAGTGAAAGGTCCGGGGTTCGATCCCCCGTAAGTCCATTATCTTTTGCAGTTATTTTTTTGCTACCTCACCTCTTCTCGTGTTCTATTATCTATCGTTAGTTACTTATGTGTTCCACGAGCTATCATATTTCTGGCCAGGACCTGCAAGCCTGCAAGCGAGCCGCGCGTGGCTTATGCAAGGGTGTCCAACGGCCCAGAGCCTCACCTCCAACCGCCAACCATCATATCATCAAGGATGAGCCCAACTTGCCATCGATTTCTTCTCTATTCCCGCATAGTCTTCATGAAAATTCTAACGTAGTGAGGAAAAAAGGTCACTCGCCTGCCGCAACACAAACATGTCCTTTGTTGAATCATCAGCACAACGCGCGATAGCGATGGCGTCATTTGTGCGGCAATATCGGACTCTCCAATGAAATCCGTAATCCAAATGAAGAAAAAATAAACAATATCGTCTTCTCTCACTCTGTGAAGATTGGGACCTGTATTCCTAGACGGGGGCCATCGTCGTTGTAGTCATACATCATGGCAATGCAGCAAGCGGCATGAGGGCAAATGTCATATCCGAGTGAAAGGGATTTGGGCTATGCTATCACGCCAAAGCCAATTAGAATCTCTAGACTTTTTGAGGAAGACGGATGAAATAAATCTTCCAGGAAATCATTGGCGCCTAGCCCCGATGTTTGGGGGTCGGGATTGATCAAACCCACCTCAACTTGTCACTTTCATTAATATACTTTGAGAGCACCTATGTATCTCATAGTCACTAGGGTATCATCCTAAGGCGGAGCGGTACCAGGTAGCGGGCCGGTGCCATTAACTTGGCTCAGTTGCCCTACAAACATCTGTCAACCTAACGGCTTTTTCTTCTGTATTTTTGTATTTCATGCCAGTGAGCATCAATGATTTAGCAGGGATATCGTTGAGAAGACATAGACAGCCGCAAAATGCTCGGTCAGATCCGAGGCTCCTGGATGAGAGAAGACCTAATGTGATATGTTCTGACTCTCTCTAAGAACGAATGCACTGCATGGCGGTGATAGGAAATACTGAAGCCGCTTTGATAAACACATTCTTTATTTCTATCTCAACGTCTGCATCGTCTTGTGTGTGGGATCGTCGGAACATCAGATCAAGGCTCTATTAACTGGAATAATCAACATTGTGTAACATTGAATGCCTACCCATGAGCGCACTTCTTGTCGAGGCCTCACCACCAGCTAATGCAAAAAAGGAATGCGCAGTCTATTTCTGTTGCTCAGCCATAAGAGCTTGCGACTTGTGTTGTAATCAATAGCCACTTCAATTCGTATGCTGCGAGGACATCTGGGAACTGTTTCTGAGAAGGAGAGCCAATGTGATTCTTCGAGTGAAGCGATGAGAAACACTGCAAAGTACCTTTGATGCCATGAGTCAAAGTACTTTTATGACCGGCAAAGCACCCAATAAACTGTCATACCCCGGCTGTTGCATGAATCGCGTCTCGTAGCCCGGTCTAGGGTGCTCTCATTAAAATTTCCCTATCTAGAATAGCACAAGAATTTGGAGGCGAATTTGCTGGGGAAGCGGGGGTCCATTGTCACGCGGGGTAGGAAAACTGTGAGGGAAACGTGGATTTGTTCCAATCTTCTAGACGGTGGGCTCCATATCTCCCCCTCAGACCCTGCAACATACCCATTTGCATTCTCTTTCCTGTTCTGTTCTCTCGTCTTCGCTCTGTCTTGGGACGAGCAACGCCGCGTTGTGAGCTGTCGTCGAATATGGAGATTGTACGCGCGACGCATAATGGCCCGTAGAAAGCGTCCATATGTGCCCAAGGTGAAAGGTGGGTACCTGGTCAGGGGAAATAGGAGATCCCCTTGCAAAGGCAGTTGGGGGGGACTTGTCATGTTGTCATGATGCTAACGAGGAAGCGAGCCAGGCTGTTATGAGTGCTCTCAGCGCCGTATCGACTGTGATGGGACGAGGCCTAGCTGCCAGAAATGTGTTTCTCGAGGGTTGGGATGCAGTGGCTTCGAGGTCAAGTTTCGATTTCGTGATGGCCTGCCTCCTGCTGGCAAAGCAGTCAGAAGGAAGAGGGGCTCGCTAATGATCTCATCAAAAGATGGCTTTTCATCTTTCCTCTCGGAGGGGATGCTTAATACGATGCCGGATAATTATCCTGCAGACAGCATCCAAGACAGCATCCAAGACATCACCCAAGACAGCACCCAAGACAGCACTGAATGGAGTCAATCTCCTGCCACCAAGGGCAATACAGAAAAAGAGGTATCTGATCAAGAACCCGAATTATCCTTAGCCTTGAGCGCGTCAACCCCAAGCTCTTCCAAGAACGACGATTCAACCAACGAATCTATTCAGTGCGTTACTCAACGCCGATCAACACCCGAAGATGGTCGCATAATTGAATCGCTCATGGGAGCAATACCAAAATCATCTCCCTCTCCAATGGAACCCTGGAGGGAATACCTCCTTACATACTGTAAGCATCTCTGTCACTGGAACCCAGTATTCGGCGAACATGTCATGTTGAGTTGATTGATGATAGTCTCAGAGCACATCGCCCCAGAAATGGTGGTCATGGATGATGACCACAACGGTTGGCGCCATCTAGTTCTCCCCATGGCATGGGCAGATGACCTCATTATGAACGCCGTCCTCTCCGCATCCGCATTTCACCTCGCCAGCAGAGGCGCGGGCGAGCACGTCGTCGATCCACAGAAACTCTACGGCCGAGCGATTCGAGAGCTGCAGCAGCGCCGCGACCTGGTCGAATGTGACCATAAAACCAAACAAGCGGTGATTTTAACCATCGTTATACTCTTAGTGGCTGTCATGATTAATGGCTGCTCCGACTTCCCTATTATATTTCAAATGCTCGAATCTGCTCTCAAGGCGGTCGGTGGTGAGAGCAAGTTTCTCGATGGAGGCGAGACGGGCAACTTCTTTCTCCGACAGATACGCAAGTAAGAACGCCTTTTTTTTTTTTTAATCTCTTTTTCCGATGCTGCCCTGATATTTCCTTTTGCTAATACTCTCTAGGATGCGAGTGTATGCGGCCCCATTACTGAGCCAAGATGCCGGGTTACACGCCATCATCTATCATGGCAGCGATAGTTTCGATTGCCTTCACTACTACGACCAACTGCACCCAACACAATCTTCCACCTTCAAGACGATTGCCGATTTGCGCCAGCAAGCGTTTGATATATATCTTGATCGCGTGTTGGCAGGAGGATCAAGCACTGCCTCGAGGGGCGTCCTGGATAGGTTTATCGCTACGGTGCAGTCATTCACCGAAGGCTCGTTGGGAGAAAACGTGCTTGTTTGGCCAGTCTTCATCGCGGCCTTGGAGAGTTGCTCATTGGAGCACCGAGCCATATTCGAGCAGTTCCTTCGGCGACAGCATCAACGCAACGGATTCGGGAACATTCTGAGAGCGTTGGAGTTGCTCAAGACGATCTGGGCTCGCAAGTCAAACAAGGACTGGCCAGCGATACTTCCCGAGCCACAGGTCTTTGTAATGTAACTAATGAACACAAAATTCTTTATTTTAGACTGATGCCAAATGTATTATCCATTTTCTTGCCAATGCCCTACCTATGTTCTATATAAATTTTAAAACATGACGATTATGTATTCTGAAAATTTTAAACCTTTCATTCATGCCGCTATTAGTCAAAACAAATATTGATACCATTATTCTTACAGTTTGGGTGAAGGAGCGAGAGCCTCAACAACCTCCTTGGCACCCTGCTCACCGGAGCAAAGAGCGCCCTCCATGTAACCCTTCCACTCGGTAGAGTACTCAGTTCCAACGAAGTGCAGGTTTCCGACGGGCTTGCCGTAGACGGAACATACTCGGTGTAGTGGCCAAGCTCGGCGATGGGAGCCAAAGCGCCCTGGCTGAAGGGCTCATGCTTCCAGATCTGGTCAAAGACCTCAATGGGGCGGTAGACCTCAGAGTCGGCGCCGACGTTGAAGACGGTGGTCAGCTGCTCAATGACCTGGCGACGACGCTCGTGGGGGTACAGCTTGCTCCAGGTCTCGCCAAAGTCACCATTGACGAAGCAGGTGAGGGAGTAGTGGCGCTTCTCATCGACGCTGGTATCGCGAGCCAGCGCGATGGGGCCATGGTAACTCATGAAAAAGCCGTTGAAGCCAAGGTCTCGCCACCAGGGCTTGTCGTAGCAGACGATGGCCTTATTGTAGTGTCCGAGCCTGGAGGAGTCGGTAACCTCGCGCACGGGAGCGGGGAGGGCGGGGGAGAAGTTGAGCGACTTGAGCATAGCGCTGGGGATGGAAATGATGGCCTTCTTGGCAGTGTACTTTTGGCCGTGGGTGGTGATGACGACGGTGTGAGTCTTGTGGTTCTCGATGGACGCGACGGGCTGGGAGAGGTGGATGTTGCTGTGTCCGATCAATTCGGCGATGCCGTTGGCAATTTGCTGGGAGCCTTTATTTTTGCAGGAGGATTAGCTACTGTTTTCGATAAATATCGAAGAGAAGGAAAAGAAAAGAAAAGAAAAACAGAATGGAAATGGCAAGGAAAAGTCGCAGCTCAATTGCTTCATAACTCACCTCCCTGGAATCGCTGGTAGTTGCCACCAGTCTGATCATCAGCGCGAATGGAGAAAAGACCCAAGTTGCGACGGCAGTAATCGATTAAGAAAGCAGCCGACTCCTGAGTTGATTCAACACCGTGCATGACTCTGACCCAAAGGTTGATCATCTGGACCGTCTTTGGGAGAGCGCCGAGATTGCGAACGTACTGGTCCAAAGAGACCTTGTCGTCCTCGACCAGAGGGGGACCTGCAGTCAAAGAAGCAGCCTGGATGTGATCGTGGATTCTCTCGAGATCGGCCTTTTCCTCAGCCAGGAACTAATAGTTTGAGTGGCAGAATTAGCTTCAAAAAGCCCGAGCAGCAGCCAAACAAAAAAAAAAAAACCAACTTACATCTGGGGTAATTCCAAAAGGGAAACTCGAGTCTCTCATCCTTGGACAGCTGCATGATGGCGGTTCCCTCCAATCGCTG